GTTCACAAATACCGGAGTTATCGCGTAACATACATACAAAAAAAAAAGAAACATACAGTCTAATTGAGAACCTCCTCCTTTTTTTGAAGTCGGTTAAAAATAATAGTAATAACTATTTAATCTCAATAATAATGGTGCAATGGAAAGATTTGTCAGACACTACTGGTGCCGCTTAAGCATGTCTTGTAAATTGTAATGTAGCCTCCGCATCCGCCGCATCCTCCACACATCTTGCTTAGCGAGTTTAAAGTTCAAAATTCAGAAGGAAAACGAATAGATAAATAAATCTTAGATAAATAAATATTTTATTCCAGTTTTATTAATATTTTGCATCGAGTATATAACCAGAAATAGAGAAGAAATGTCATTTAATTTGTTTGAAAACTATTCTGCCATATCATTACTGTGGCTTTGTATTGGCCAGCCTGAATTCGAAACAATTAACGGGTGTCGTTTATTGTTTCACTTCAAATCGACCAGTTAACTTGAGCTTTGCTGTAATGGATGAAACTTGCAAAATTACATATTTAATATTTAATTGCCGATGAAATTTGATTCCGTTTGTTTTGTAATTAGATATTATGCCGTTTTACCCCACACCACCGAATGGAACAGCACGCTATTGTTAGAGATATTATCTTTATTACAATACATACAGAATATTTTTGGAATATACGGAGACGTACACACAGGTCAGTTATTGGCACTGTCTATATTTCAGTGCAAACGAGAGTTGCAAAAGAATTAAAGAACGATTCAAAATTTGAAAACAAGTGGCCAGGAACCAGAGAAAAAGTGATAGAAAGGTGGGATAACAGTGGAAGGAGGTCACATCGTCACAGATTGAAGTAATAGTTTATTTCACGTAGCATGGTGACTGGTCTGGTGACGTTTGAGATTTGAAGTTTCTAGAGACGTGGTGATGTAAAATACGACACGACGCAAGCACATAGAAAAATTCGTGAGGTCCGTTGGTTCGTTCCGTGGCTTAGCTGGTATAGCGTCTGGCACGGTATGCAAGAAGACGTCGGTTTGAATCCGACCGGATCGAAGGAATTTTTTCTGAGTGTTCGTATTAATCTTTGTATTAATAATTATAACAAACTAGTGGAGTAATTTCACAAAAAAATAATTGAATATCAATTCAATAAAAATTTAATTAATATTTAATTTTAATGGAAAACGTGTAAGGCCAACATGTCGTGAAGAGAAGTGAATTATTTACAGGCAGTACACAGATTTTGTTTATAGCTCGACTTGAGACACTTCCGTTTGGAAGTTTAACATCAACAACTCTGATTTTTTGACCTTGGTAAGTCTTGTTTGAATTAATTATGGAAGACAGTTTAAAGCGGATTTTTCCAATCAAAAAAACGTAGTAATATGTGGAGATTTCAATGTAAACCTGTTGGAAAACTGTTCTACTTCTGTAAGACTCATTAATTTATTTAAAAGTTTTAACTTGATTAATCTTTTCTTAGAACCAACTCGCATCACTGCCTCCTCTTCTACTTGTATTGATAACATCTTTTGTAACACAGACGCTGTGTCTAAATCAATAATAAATTGCTTAAGATCATACCATAGTGGCCAATTGGCTTCTTTTAATTGTAAAATGAGCAAGAAGCTAGGCCAATTTCTCTGCAGACTGATTACCACAGAACGAATCATTAGATTTCAAAATAATATCGGCAATGGTTTAAATTCCCTACTCCATATACCGGAGGTTCCAAATACTTTATATAGCACGATATTTGGTTTAATTAAAATTGAATTTGATAATATATTTAAATCGAAAACATAAACTTTCCATAGAGAGACTAAATTCAACGACTGGGCAACAGTAGGTATTCATAAGAGTAGGTCTCGTTTGTATGAGTTATATGCTATGAAAATACTAGTTCCAATTTCACAGAATGCACAAATACCAAGCACAAGTCCGGTCGTGCATGGAGTACTGCTGCCACCTTTGAGATGGCTCTGCTACATACCAACTGCCCACCTTGGATTCAATTGACAACCGTGCTAAGAAGCTTAGAGGACACTCGGAATTAGTGGAGGCGAAGCTGCAGAGCCTTGAACACCGCCGTAAAATTGCCAGCTTATCGATATTTTGCAGGATATATCACGGAGAGTGTGCAATGGAATTATCCGATTTAATTCCGCTTTCCCCTTTCCATCGTCGGGGGACTAGGCGTAGGCTTGGGTTCCACCTCTGTGTTCTGGATATTCTAAAGATTCGCACGAATCGTTACGCTTCAACATTTATATGGCGATGGCACGCCGGCGCGGCGCTCATATCTAAGCCAAGGCTACTAAGAGAGTTGTTCGCATGGTTGCCGACAGGCCACAGGCATAATTTATTTTTACAGCCCCTTTGATAATGCCTTTGGCTGTCGTAAATCTATTCACAGCCTTCTTGATAATGCCTCTGGCTGTCGTAAACCCACCACTCGTGTAATGACGTCGGACCCCGGTACCTAAAGGACCTTCCCAACTAGTCCTCTTTGATAACGGCCAGGGTCTCCTATCCGAAACTGGTTTTGTTTTTAAATAAAATAAAAAATAAATAAAAAAACATTTATATCAGACGATAATGATCCATATTCTTAAATCATCACTTTAAAATTAATCACTTAAGAAAATTCAATAATAAAAATAAAATGAACATCGGGAATAGGGTGGAATGCATTAACATTAGATATGACTGGTTGTTGACTTTACCACCTCAGTCAACCGTGACCATGAGACCTGTGAAGGGTGTTAAACGTTGTTTTTTTTTTAATATCAAGTGACGAGACGAACGAATCATGTGCCTGATGGTAAGCTACACGCTTATCCATAACAGTTGCACTGCCACTCACTGCTTTAAATCGTAAAGATTTAAGGGGCACTGCCATTGCGTCTGTCAACCTGAGACGTAACAGATTCAGACACCCTGAGACATAAGTTGATAAGTCCCATGTGCCTGTAATTTCACCAGCACCCTTACTTTTCTAAACCTGAACGCAGTAATGCTAACATTACTGCTTGGCGGCAGAAATAGGTAAGGTGGCAGTACTTCCCTGGAGGAACTCTTTCACAAGAAGCTCTACTGTTACTGGTTTGTTTGAAAAGACAAATATACGCGATAAAGCGATTTAAATCCGAAAAAATAGTTTCATTTGCTATTCTATGTCGAAATTGGCTAGAGTATAATTACCGGTTGCTGTCATCAAACATAAGACACCAAAGTGTCCATTTGCATCGCGCTTACAACTGAAAATTTAATTCATTTTATTACTGTATTAGGGTATGAACTACATTTACTGGTTGCGCCTGAGTTGATTGTGAATTTCGGTTATTCTGGGCGTGGGTTTTAGCAATTCTTTTATTCTGATTGGGAATGGACTGTTTAGAAATGTTGTCAAGCAGAAGAAGTATGAGATCTAAAGGCAATTTGTTGATTAATGGAATTCGTTGTCCCGATAGTTCTTGTTGTCCTGGCTGACTTGTTTCCCGCTGAGTTCCTGGTTGTGACGGATTGCTCGATGATCCTGAGGTACCTGGTGATCCTCTTGGATAACTAGTGGAGCTGCTGCTACTTGTTTTAGAGGAACTTAAGCTTCCTGCAAAAGAAAGACAAAAATTATTGCAATTCGGTGTAGTCATTGAATTTATGTGAAAGCCTTTGCTAACCTGACTGCTCTGACTGTATTGACAGTCCTAGTTGGTCAGTCTGTCTTTGTTGTTCTGATTGTCCGAGTTTTCTGAAGTGCTCCGATTGAATCGTTTGTTCGGGCTTTCCTGAATTTATTGGCTGTCCTGATTGGTATGCCAAGTCTATTAGTCCCGTTTGGCCTGATTGTCCAAGCTCTTCTAATTGTACTGATTCTACCGTTTGACCTGGTTGTTCGGGCTGTCCTATCTGTTCTGTTTTTGACTGGCCAGACTGTTCTAGTTGTCCTGATTGCTGTAACAGTCCTGAATCACTTGGCAGTTCAGTATATGCTGTTTGAGCAGGATTTTCTGATTGGCCTACCTCATCTTGTTGATCTCTTTGTCTTAGTTTTCCCGATTGACCTGTCTGTCCTGGTTGGCATGACGGTCCTACTTGACCTGACTGTTGTTGTTGTTCTGATTGCCCTGTTTGTCCCGATTGGCCTAACGGTTCTGGTTGGTCTAACTGTCTAGCTTGTGCTGGTTGGTCGGACTGTGTGACTGGTTCACCTGCCAATTGGCCTGTTTGTCCTGGTTGTATTGACTGTTCTTCTTCTCCTAGTTGTCCTAATTGGCAAGATTGTCCTTGATGACCTTGTTGATCTGACTGGCCGGTCTGTCCTGACGGTTGTTCTGTTTGATTTGACTGCATAGATATCCCTGGTTGTCTCGAATGTTCTGGTAGTCCTAAATTTCTTGATAGTCTTGGCTGCTCTAATGTTCTTGAGCGCTGTTCTAATATTCTTGACTCCTCGGCTTGTGCTGAATGTTCTGATGGACCTTCCTGATTTGATTGGCCAGGCGGTCTTTTTTGACTTAATTCACCCGACTGGCATGCAACTCCTAGTTGATCTGTTGCTAGCTTATCATTATCATGTTTGTGTGGATTTCTTTCTTGGATAAATTTATTGTACCATTTGATAAAAACTGTAAATTCTATGGGTGGTTTCTTTTCCCTTTTCTTATCTTGAACTTTTTTTCTATCATTCTGTTTTACATCTTCATTAGTCTTTCTACTTTCATTTTCCTGTTTAATCACTTTCTTATCACTATGTTTCTGTTTTTCATCTATCTTCTCATTCTTTTCATTTTGTTCGTTAACAGTTCGTACTTGTTTATGTACTCGCTTTTCTTGGGTCTCATTTTGTTTATTTTGGTGTTCTTTCTTTTCTTTACGCTGATCATCTTGCCAAGATTTTTTTTCGTTTCCATCACCATGATTTCCATAATTTACTATTGCAATGTCGTTAGGTTTACTAAGGCGTTTAGTCATTTTATCATCACGTCTGCCTTCATCTTCAAATATTTCCTTTTTGTCTACATATTTATCTTGCGTTTCGGTTGAAGGTTCAAATATAATTTGGTCGCCATTAGTGACGCTGTCTCCGTATTTTTGGACGTCGTCGCTACGTTCTGAAAAGAAGTAGTAAGATTTTAAGGCTAGGTATTGTAATGCGAGTGTAAATTTTAGGAGGTGAAGTGTGGGCAGTCATAATCATATCATAGTCCAGTCATAGTTGTAAGTGATATAAAGTGGCTTGGTGCGGTGATTGAACTATATAAAAAACACCTGTCTCATTTTTGCGTGAGATAGAACTGTCTATACAGCCGATTTCACTTTATCGATGTAAAATTTATAAATTTTAGGACATATCTTATCACATCGTCGTTACAATTTGCTCGTCGTGGAAGTGTAGTGAAAGACACATGTGAGCAGTTTCTTTACTACGTTTATGAGAGAGCCTCCACTTTCAGAAGCTAAGTTAAACACGTGTCATGTTACTACACTATTATGATAGTAGTAAGAAATAAGCCTAAAGGGCCCAAGATAAATATGCACTAAGCACTTACAAAAAGCTCAATGTTTACGAAACCAGCTCAAAGGTGACTCAGCAAGATCCATACCACATTCGACCTGCAAACAACCTGTAAACGCGCCTGCGTATACCCACTGAGGTATTTTACAAAAGGCAGCTTTGGGTTTACAATTTGGGCATCGATTCAGGAACCAACGACCATGCCTATTGGAACGTTTGGGTAGAAGGAGAAGCGACTAAGAGTTTGAAGTGAGCTCCTGCCTTCTTGAGCACGTAATGGAGAGATTTAACGATGGCATGAAGCACTTAACACTTTGGAGTGGCTCTTGCGTAGGTCAAAACAGAAATATAAAGATGAAGTTGACATTGAAAGCTTTATTAAATGATCACTCAACAGTTCAAACAGTAGCCTTCGCTTTTTAGAGTCTGGAGACTGGAGTGAAGAATGTCATGTCGCCCAATCGACTTTGCTCTAAAATTTCAACGAAGATTATGTATGACAGAAGACTATATGTAAATAACGAAGACATACAGAAAAAATAAATAATCAGAGTTCATAAAATGAGAAAAGAAGATTTTTGTTGTTTGCTAACCTGGAAAAAACAATAAGAAGGTCAAAAGTACCTAACTGATGGACCAAAAGAGTATCTTCTTAATATATAAGAGATTATGCTTAAGATGTGTTATTAATTTTTAAGAGATGTGACCTAGGTGACGACTAAATGAAAGTCAAAGTAAAGAAAAAGTTACTAGAAAATACTGCCTGATTAAGCTTAGAACTAATGGATATGGTCTGATCTAAAGGAAAACCCATCCCTGAAGCAAAGTTAAACGGCCTAAAAAAGTTGTCGCATCTTGTACCAGAAGATGACTTTTACAAAACTTAACACGGAATGATACAGTTAAAGATAATATATACGAGTTTTCTGAGAGGTTGATTTTGAGGTAAAACTGGACGATGGTGATTAGGTAATGTGTGATGATGAATAACAGTGTTTTAGTTAAATAAGCATGTATGTTCTTGTCATAACGATATAGTAACAGAAAACAATGGGATTTAAAATTATTTACTGTAATCTGTCTACCTGTAAAACCTTTTTGCAATAAAGAACTAACCCATAAAACAGTATTTTTGCAATAAAGAACCACCAGGTTTTCGATCTGCAAAAAATACCTGAATCAAAGAAAAATCATTACTTTGTTTGTGTCAAATAACTTTTGAATAGTACCAAATTTTACTTTAATGCCTTAATGCAATCAATGAAAATGTACGAATACAAGATACGTTCCAATTACGTCATCAAATTACAAACTCACCTTATTCATTTCAATGATAATGACTAGACATGACGTGTAATTTTGTCGTACGACCTTACAAAACAACGCAATAAGTATAATCTTTTGATTTAGTATGTAGTTCCATCTCGCTCTTGTTAGATGTAAGCCAGCCAGTCAGAGACAATAATTAACATTTACAAAATAAAACTCGTCATCCAGGCATGCGATTCCCGTTTAACTTTGTGTAGGTCATGATACGAATTTAAGCAATTCAAACATTGACTTACAATTATATTGCCGTCGGGTCCGCGCTAAAAAGTGTCCGAACTTATAGCGCGTTAAAATCGTATACAGAGCGTCATTCACGCTTTAGTCTTCGTTTGTTCGACTGACAGCGAAGCAAGCAAAATTAGACAGTACTGCGATGACATTACAATTTAAAATCAACGTTTTAGCTTTTTCATATTCCTTTACATGTCACTACGTTTAAATAGGTTGACTTGGGACATTTTTTTCGTGTATTTTGTATTAGACCCGTCGTCCATTTATTTGTAAGTCAATGAATTCAAAGCAAATCATTCCGGGTCGGAAAGATCGGTGTTTCACATGCTTTAAAAATGTGTAAATAAATGTACACAGTAATTAATTACCGTTCTCGTTATGTGGTCTGCACCATGCAAAAGAAACCTGCAAGCAAAAAGACTGTTTAAATTGAGCATTATAAAGTTGAAAAATGTAATATACCTTTTCCAAGCTTATTTCTATTTCATAGAATGGGATGGGATGGAACGGAATGGAACTGAATAAATTGTAATGGAGTGTAATGGAATGGAATACGTTTTATTTTCCAGAATACAGTAATGATAAAGGTCTTCGGTCCCTACTGTTAATTAATTACACTTATTAATATAAATTTGTATTTGAAAATTCTAAGTATTCTCTATTACTATAGAAGCAATATGTCAAAAGCCATTTTGTCAATTACATTTTAAAAGTATGTCTTTAGAACAGTGTCATTTCATTTGAAAATAATTATGCACATTTTAAAACAGTTTTTCTTATAAATTACTTGCGCTGACGCTTCGACTCTGCGCCAGTGTGAGTTCAGTCTTAGAGGATGGAGAATCGAAAAAAAATAATTACCACTGAGAAGAGTTGACCAGACCGAGGACAGTTTCAAAAACGTGGAACGGCAAAGGAAGTACATTTATTTATAAGCGCTTTACATGTGTTGTCGTTACTAAATATAGTTTTAAATATACTTATGCACTAACTAATTAAACACAATCGCTTTAATGCTAAACGGCCGCATGTCAAAAATTCACTTTTTAACAGGAGAGCTTGTTAAAGTTTTCGATCTGTTTTTTAAATAGTGCTGTATTTTCAAATACCCATGTATTTATACTCAAAAGATGCGTCTTTCAAACTTCTACTAATTTGTAAATATAGATTTGCGCTAGGTTTAAACCAACGCCGTAAAAAAGCATACATAGCACTTTAGCACTAAAAAAAGAACTCGATATAGTGAGAACTATTTTAAAATATTTAATAAATAGACCAAAAATTATAGTGATAAAGGTATATATTAAGCTTATTAAATTATTTCTAAAAGCTCCTTGTGAAGCTTGACAAATAAAAATAGACTCAAAACTAAAAACACACTTCTAAAACAAACAAATAAATGCTTTAACACATAACATAAGAATATAAAACACTCTAAACCTGAAATTAGTCTCATTTATGGCAAGTTTTAAAATATTACTTACAATTTATGTATTAAGAACATTGACCTACCAACAAATAGACATCGGGTCTAATACAAAAACCACGAAAAAAATGTCCGAGATTAACCTATAAAAACTTAGTGACATGTAACGAAATATAAAAAACTAAAACATTTAATTTAAATTGTAACGTCATTGCAGTACTGCCTAAATTTGCTTACAACAATTTAAGGGCCCAAAAACACCATATTCAGCTTCTACTGGAAACTTAACAAAATGTACCATATTTAGCTTCGACTGAAAATTACTTAAACACAAGAGTAATGGAATAGCCTTTCTTGTAAATATTAATTAATTTTTTTATATATATTATTATGTCGAATTTTGTACAAATTCACTTAAAGGTAGGTATAATAAAGATTTGGGGAGATACATACATACAAATATTACTACAAATGTGAAAATAAACGTGTACTATAAGAAATGTACCGATATTCTAACTAAACGTAAACTCAAATATCCGTAATTCCGATTTATAACAAAACCATTACGCTTTCGAGTAATTTTGATGCTTTTTACATAGACAAAATTAGCTTTTGTTTTGTAATCTTCGTAAAAACACATGAAAATTCGAGCTAATGTTATTCCGGGCAAAGGTATTTTCTGACTTCTGATAGGTAATCCCATGCCGTAAAACGAGTACAACAACATTTTGTTGGTTATTGCTAACGTTTAATAAAAAAATCATTTTAAAAATAGGATTAAAATCAAAGCAACTCTACAGTTTCTTTGTTCTAAATATTTCAATCGCTTGTGGTTCGAACAATTGAAAATGACCAAGAAGTTTATATAAGCTTCTGGAAACTGACGTAATGGGTCTCTTTCCATCTTTTGCGCATGCAATGAATAGAAAAAGGACAGTTAGCTATTTCATTATTTCGTGTGCTTTTGTAACTTATATTTACGATTCAGTATATATAAATTAAATACTATAAAACTAATAATAACACTTTTAAATGACAACTATGATAACACAGTATATTTGTTTAGTGAAAATATGGTACAAAATCCTGTTTTCCTGCAGTAATTTTTACAAGTTATTCTTATTGGCACTGCATGATTGGGTAGCAATGCGTTGCTCTGCTACCGATTTTCGCCCACTGTGCTACGGTTTTATTGACGTGTAGAGAATCAATATACAAGACACGACATTTTAAACTGCATGACTATCTGTCGTCATGACTTAATGGGAAGCGTTCCCATGCCCTAATGAGAAGGTGGGATTGGAGAAACTTCAAAATCTTACCAAAAGAAGAAACACAAAATACCGCATGATTGTAATTAAAAAACATAACACATGTTTCTAAGTGACTAAAGTTAATTTCGACATAACAATACCTTATATACCCTCTATGGCTATTATTATATTTATGTCAACATTGCATAGAATGTATCAATAGATTTACAATAAAGTTATGTAGAACACTTGAAGGTAGTGTAGGGTGACAATTAACGTGTGATTTTTTTTAAATCTCAAGTGACGGAACGAGGAAGTAGTGCGCCTGGTGGTACGTGACCCGCCTGTCTATAACAGTTGCATTGCCACTCAGAGCTTTAAATTACAAAGACCTGAGGGGCACTGCCACTGCGCCACTAGGTGTTAACCGGGTAACCTTTTTAAGCTAACGTTCTTTCGCGCGCGATTGCTCGTGTTCGTTTTTGTTACAACGGAAAAGCGTCGGTGTAAAAGGCGACCTTCTTCTCCTTAAATCTTATACTGAAAAGCGTACTCAGGCTGTGTCACATAAAGGCTGTATTTCTGACTTTCTGGATGTAACTTCCGGTGTGCCTCAAGGATCTCATCTAAGTCCGCTTCTTTTCACCCTTTACATGAATGATTTTGACAGCCTCTTTGTAAATTCATTACACTTAGTCTATGCCGCTAATACTTAAATCTTTAAAATTATTGCTAAAGACAGTGACTGTTTAGATTTACAAAGTGATCTCGACCGACACTTTACATACTGTGTTAACAATCAGCTACATTTCAATCCTGCCAAATGCCATTTGATTTCGTTCACTCGTAAAAATAACCTTAGACATAGTTTTTAATTATACTTTAAATGGCACCATTATCAAACCTGACCTAGGTGTCATCTTCGACTCTAAGTTACACTACAATTTTCCGCAGCTGAGCTGGCGGAAAGAATAAAATGTAATAAGTACCAGGATCTCCTGTCCCGACTACCTATTTACAGCCTTTGGAGTCGAAACACTTGGCCCGAGGGGTCCCAGTGTCCTTCATCTGTACAAAATTTATATTTATTTATTGTCTTTTTTACCTTACCTGTATATTATCTTATTTAAATAATATTTTCATATCGACAACGTTATTTCTAAATCATTTAAATTATTCGGTTTCCATTACGGAAGGCATTACTTTTAAAACTTCGTACTCATCTTTTGTGAGGAGCAATTTGGAGTCCGAAAGCGTAATTTGGAAACCCTAGCTAAAATGTGCACGTTGATGCATTAAAAACAATTATAAAAATCTCTGTTTTCGCAGTTTTTTTTAAATATTTTAAATCTAATTTGCGTATAACTTGGAACAGTACCTAATGTTCGTGATGTTATTTTATTATTTAGTTTATTATGTTGTTGTATTTGAATGTAGTTGAACCGTAACTTACTTGCTAAATTCTTGTAATGTTTGTGGAACTCCAAGTCTATTTTTTTGTAATCGATACTTTTGTATCATTTACCTGTTTCATGATTGTTTGTTTCCCTTGAATGAAATAAAAAAACGGTCAAATATTCATATTAAACACTAAATTAATTGCCTATGTGCACAGATGAACAAACAGCCGTGGAAAGTAGGGCGCAAAGTGAGCAAAATAAAGTGTACGATGGCAAAACCGCACAACCTTCAAAAGATGTCCTTTTAAAAAACCAAAAGCATTGTCGCATTAACATCCTATTTAAATATTTTGGTTGTAAAATATTATTTAACTAAGTCGTCATTATTTGTTTAATTAATTACCCAATTTGGAAAACCTTTTACGTCAATTTTAGACATAATATTTGCTTGGTCCAAATAAAATGTCATTAGTACGTAGCATTGACTTACAAATAAATGGACGACGGGTCTAATACAAAAACCACGAAAAAAATGTCCCAAGTCAACCTATTTAAACGTAGTGACATGTAAAGGAATATGAAAAAGCTAAAACGTTGAATTTAAATTGTATTGTCATCGCAGTACTGTCTAATTTTGCTTGCTTCGCTGTCAGAAGAAACAAACGAAGACTAAAGCGTGAATGACGCTCTGTATACGATTTTAACGCCCTATAAGTTCGGACACTTTTTAGCGCGGACCCGACGTCCATATAATTGTAAGTCAATGGTACGTAGCTATTATTTTAATCAAATCAATGCGTAATTTAATTTCTTTATTTTTCTCAGCCTGTTGGCCGACATATAGCCATCGTTTGTTATTATTATTATAGATATGTCGGAATAGGGATGAGGGTGGTAGTAGAGGTAGAGGAGGGTGGGTGGTAGAAGTAATAATAATAATAATAAGAATCTTTATTGTTCTCTCACAAAGTCTTAGAATATTTAAAGTAGTGACTTATCTAAGTAATGTTACATCCTTAAGTCTGTTTGAGAGACTGGCGTCCGTACTAGGAGACCTGTATTACAGATCACCAGCCTCTCCACACTCCGGACCAAAAGGTAAGTACACTCGAACTTAGATAACTATAATCTTAGTGAACAGTACTGGACTTAGGCGTGAGGTGAATGTGTGTCTGTGTGGGGGTCAGTGTGTGTGTGTTAGTGTGTATGGGTATGTGTGTGCGTGTGTGTAAACTTGTGTGCAAAACCCGAATTAGCCATAAAGAAAGAATAAAGTATATTAATTTGATACTAATAATAATTTTAAATTGGAACAATTAAGAGAGTGCGCTTGGCTAGCTAGTGCCTCCTTACTACGTCCAGTAAAAGGGATTCGTCCCGTTTGGATGCAAGCTGCGGTGCAGTCCGAGACAAGTCGCGATGGGTGCGAATCGTACAAAACACACGAACTCTGAGGTGTTCTCGTAACTTGTCCCGAAAGACAGGTGCGAATTCGAGACGCTTTCTTAGTAAGAGGACAACCGTAGAAATACAATCGTTGAATTGATCAATTACAAATAGACAAGCATAAGAATATAAATCAATAACATACAAAATACTAGTGACAGACATTTAGCGAAAATCTTAACATCGCGATCTAACATTTTCTATGCCAATGCCATCTAGCGGTAAACTTAGGAACTGTTATAACTAATGTTGTCTAAGTTATTGTGTTACAGTTATTGTTATTAGAACTTCCTCGGACAAACCCTAAAACAAATATTTATTTAAAAGAACAATTCTTCTATTTACATGACATTAAATAAAGAAAATAAATAAAAGAAAGAAAGCAATAAAAAAATATTTATTATTTTTTTATTTAAGTAATTTAATTTTACAATAACATGTCACATGCTTAGGTTTCAGAACGGGTTTTTTTGGTTGGCGCTAGAGTGTTCGCGTCAGTCTATAAGCTCTTGTGTAACAGCAATCGATGCTGAAAAAAAAATTATGTAATCAAAAATCTCGCATGGCCTAAAAGTTAAAAACTAAATTTTTAAATGGTTCAGGCGATACTCCCTGGCAGTGGCACAGTAGTCAAGGACTCAGGTTCCAGAATTATTTTTATTATGATATTAACTAACCTTTGTTTTATTTGCCCAGAAAACCAAAAAGCCCGCTTCCACCGCGTTCACCACCTTTGTCGTGACCACCGCCTCCAAGGCCAAGACCTGATTCAAAACCTTTATTGGGTAAATAAGTCATTATTAAAAATCTTATAATCATCTCTGCTTTATCGAGTTCTTAGATTTTTGACATTGCTGTACATTGGAAATGAAATTTTTTTTTTGACTTCAAAAAAAGGAGGAGATTCTTGTAGACTATGAACTAAATATAAACATAAAATATATAAATAAACATTATAATAATAATTTCTCAATCGTGGTACCATGAGTTTGGACTTAGTTCTAAGGATATATGTGTTATGTTTTACATTTATTCGCAAAATTAGTCTTTAGTTATACATTTGTACAATAAGTTATTCGATAAACAATTTTATTTATTTATTGATCTTTTGATTTGGTCGTTATCGTTTCCAACCGATGTCGGACGGAGAACGAAAGTAGACCCCATAGTGTGACATACTTTGTGTGGGGAGACTTACCCTTCACCGCTCCATCTACTGCACCAAGTCCAGCCCCTAGTCCAGAACCAATAACACCTATTTTGGAACATATATTACATAATTAGTACACGTGAAGAAGAATTGAGCAACATCTCAATAGTACACGGTTTATCGCATTAAGTAGATCAGAAAAAGCGGTTTTCACCTCACTAGCTCGGAAATGCTTTCTTTCTCATTAGAAATCTGCGAGCTAGCGTGGAAAAGGTTTTTGAAATTCGAACTTGACGATGGACTGTGGTGCACGTAACTTTTTCTTTCGAAGAAAAAAAAGATAATGACACGCTCATTATCATTATTACCTATTTATGTAATATAAATCCGTTGGTATATTTTGTTCTTATTATTGTTGACATTAAATGAACAATGACAATTAATAGTGTATAATAAATTATTTTAATTCGTCGAAGAACTAAAATAATTTCAATAATCACTTAATCACACATAATACAAAGTACAAGCAATAATAAAAATTGATGAGATGTAAATTCAGAACGCATCTAAATAAATAAAGCCAAAATAAATAAATCTTAATAAATAAATAAAATAAAATAATAAAATAATCTAAATAAATAAATAATACGCAATAAATAAAGTGTCTTTATTAATTTAATTGGGATAGACGAAAGATACCTCCTTGTAAGACATACTATTTCTATTCCCTGTAAGTACGCCTTACTCAATAATCGGTGAGTACCTTACTTCGATTGGTAAATCCATCGAGTATATAACCAGAAATAGAGACGAAATGCCAATTAATTTGTTTGAAAACTATTCTGCCAAATCATTACGGTGACAACTGTGCTCCGATTGGTCAACCCGAATTCGAAACAATTGATGTGTGTTGTCAATTGTTTCACTTTCAATCGACCAGTGTAACTTGAGTTTTGTTATAATGGACGAAAAATGCAAAATTGCATATTTAATTACCGATAAAATGTGATTCCATTTGTTTTGTTTTCACACACCACCGAATGGAACAGCCCCCCCCCCATAGTTACAGATATTATTTTTATTACAATAAATACAGAATATTTTTGGAATATATGGCGTACGCACAGGTCAGTTGTTGGCGCTGTTCTATTTCAGCTTTGTAATTTGCGATTTCAGTGCACACGAGAGTTGATATTTAAAAGTGATATAAGGCCCATTTGCCTGATGAGTTGCCAGGGATGGATGGCCCTTATTTCGTCTCTATTCTGGTTATATTCGATTGATAAATCCTTTCACCAACATGACAAGCATATTATAGTGTATATCATCAATACAATAAAAATATCTATTTAATATTCATAAATGGACAATTTTGTCGCGAATTATCCGTTCTATTTTATAGTGCATAAAACAAAAACTTGCCTCCAACTAGCTTCGTTCCAGTTTTGACACCATCATTGATGACACCACCAATGCCGCCTCCCAAACCTTTGACCGAAAAAATAAAATTACTTTCTTAATGCACATTAACTCCTCCTCCTCCTTGAAACTAACAAAACGAATCATCCGTAAAACAGAGTCTGGTGTGATTATACAGCGAAAATATGATAAATTCATAGTAATTTTTTGAATTGAATTTGAATTTTTTTGTGAAATTGCTCCACCAGTTTGTCATAATTATTAATACAAAGATCGAACACTGAATAAACTGTATACATTTATCATTTACAATATTTATTTCAAACATCTTGGATCGAAAATACCTGCAAGAGCTAAACCTTTAGAATAAAGTTTATTTTTTCACTATACTTTTAAACGTCATAAATGGCAAATACTCAATTTTAAAACATAAACTTAATTAAAACTAAAATTGCATTTTAAAACAGAACGTAAATATTTCAAAACGGTCGTTAAAACTTCGGACTCGTTAAAGATTCATTACGATAGACAAACGAGACAAAAATGGTACAAAAAGATACGATTTTTTAATTTTCTTTTAAATATTTAACGTTGTTAGCTTTTATTTTTGAACGAAACACAAGGTAGGTTTTTGACATCAATTTGAAGTCTCGTTTACACTTCACATGATTTCTCCTTTATATTTTTCCATCCTCTTATTAATAAGGATTTCTCCAACTTCATAACAATTTCTTTTTGAATTTTCTGACAAATCAAGTTAAAGTTAAAGAAGATAGCTTAACAGTGTTACAATTATTGTAACTTACGTTCATAATTATATCTACGTCTTAGAATAATAACGCATAGAATGATAGTTTCATATCAAACGAACTGTCACAAGTGAGGCAAAAATCAAATTCATGTAGGCTAGATTTAGTAGTAGGTTAATTTTCGGTTTTAGTGAATATTTATACATATAAAAATACAAGTTGAAACGCGTTACTTCCTTGTGGAATGTGATGTTAGTATCTATTTTATGTTTGTCTGACGTATTTTTACACTCATTTACCGCACATTTCGTCATTTTTAGCTAAAATTCTTGAGCTGTTCGCGGTGCAAGTTGACCTTGAGCACTGAAGGCCCACCCGCTCGTGTAGGCCCATTGGGAGCGCTTCAATTTGCCTCACTTAGCGTGTGCGGACTAGGTTTCTATGCGTTATTATTCTAAGATCTACGTTGCAAAAAGTGCAAGTGTAAAATTCTAATTTTTCCCGAACTAATAAGGTCTATTTTGCTTAGATCGATCAGCAAGAACACTGGCTTTATTTCAGAATTAATTTTGCCAATTAAGCCATTTGAAAATTGTATATCGTATAGTATACGTGTTATATTTAGTTCAAATCATTTAAAAAAAAATCATTGGTATTGGTAAAGTACCTATTGAATTCAACGATTTTCTTGTAAAATTTCGAGGTAACTTTGTATTCTTTTTCTTCCGTGAAAATGTTTAGGAATCGTATTTTCACACCGTGTAGTTTCACATCAGTGCATAGCCTCAATTTTACTACATATTTTTTCCAAAATAATTGATTCAACATTTTGACTGTTATGCGGGATCAACCAAAGCCATTTGGGAAAGTATAGACTCTTAACAGCAGACGCGCGACTTCTTTCCGACACTTGGTTTCATAACAAAAGGACCTAATTTGTTATGTTAGCATTAGCTGGGTAACTTACCTTTTTCTGCACCGCCAAGATCTTTATCACCTGAAACATTTTAAATGTGAACTAAGCAAATTAAGTCTAAACAGAGTTTTTCAATGCAAATTGGGTGGACATAAGTATAAGAGGAGCTCAAATTTACCTCCTCGATTTGTGACATCTTGTATAATTGAAAAAATATTATTTGCACCGATAAATGTTGTCTCTTGGAACGGATTGACATTTCTGTTACAAGTAACACCATTAACACTTACTTAAAACGTACCTACATGGACTTAATGACGTTGGTCCATCGTATGAGTCATGGGCGGAGATGATCAAGCGTGGGGAAGCTTTTAAATCGGGTTAATACCCATTAATGTCCAAAATCGAGGGCAAAAACTATTTACTATAGTCCATATGTTTAGGTACTTAACTAAATGTAAACAATCTTCATATGTCTATTTAATGAAATATACATTAATAAGATAATTTTTACATACCTTCAAATACAAAATACAAATTTTATGCATATTTATTTGTAAAGTACATGTTTCAATAAAAAGATGTATCAAGATTGTTTACATTTAGTTAATTACTTAAAGAAAGGGATTATACTAAACATTTGTTGTAAATCGTGTTTCGTTCAAAAATAATATTATTACTTTTGTTTTGTTTATCGATTTGCCTTTCTAAAGAATCTGAAATAAATCGATACAAACATCATTAGATCGTATGCCCCTTCAATCGATTTTCGTAAAAATCAAATCGTAAAGTGCATTCTTAGTAGTGAGAATCCACAGAATTGCAAGGTAAGTATAGTGAGGAGATGCCTCATTTCAATCTAAAAAAGATCTTTTAAATTATAAATTTAAATTATACCAAATTCCAAAATTATACCAAATTCGCCGTTTTCGCCGTCGATTTTAAGCAGAATTGGATTAAAACCAATGTAACATAATAACTTTGGCAATATTAGTGAAAACAGTTCCGAAGTTCACCGCTAGATGGGCGTAGAAAACTCAATTTCTGAATCGCGGTGTCAAAATTTTCCCTAAGCTGATTAGCTTAGGGAAAGAGGTGATTACCTCTTCTTTTACTAGTTTGTAACAATAGTTCCAATGTTCACCGCTGGATGGCATTGGCGTAGAAAGCGCAATTCCTGAATCGTGGTGTCAAGATTTTCCCTAAAGTAATGGCCTGCCACATGTCAATTTGATACACAAACGATTGCGAATCTACGGTTATCCTCACTAAGCGGAAGCATCTTGAACTCGCACCTTTCTTTCGGGACTGGTTTCAGGAACACCCTGAGTGAGAGTGAGTGTCTTTTTGTAACATTCGCACCCACCGGGACTTGTCACGGACTCTGCGCCGCGCTTGCATCCAACGGGACGAACCTCTTTTATTGGACACCATTGTTATTATAAGCCAGATTGTAAGCTGTTGTACAATAAACCACATCTTCACTTAGTTTTCGTTTGATTCCTGGACGTAGTAAGGGGGCACCAGCTAGCTGAGCGAATCTCTACCACCCTGTGCACCCCCTCCTACTGCACCAATTTAAAACCCAGCCGAGTTGATTGGGTTTTAACCAACTGCGCATCTTTGGTCATGGGTGCTTTGTCTGACTGAATTATAATTTTGAATTATTTACTTACTCATCAGGGGGTCTACTCAGAACCTTCCGATAACTCAGTTGTCGACCGATTTGATATCCTACGATTTCTTTTCAGTTTTATTCACAACACCCGAATCGAACGTCAAACTGTCGTATTCGAAACCGAACCGAAATGACGTCTCACCCGTATGATTACTCGCGCTTTTCGACCGGCAAAGGCTACAAACGTTATTCAGAGCACAGTTATCGATTCTCAATTTTATTAGTTTATTTTAATGCATTCCTATATTTTAGGCCATTAAAATCCTAAAGTCCAGGGTAGCTTTTTTTTTAAACTGTAGGCACTTTGTAAAATACCAACTGCCGACTCTATTCATATTAATTCCACGTAATTATTATCAAGTACCAATGCGTAAAAGTATTTAAACTAGTTGTTTGCACTATATGGAAACTGGTGGGAATTACACTCAAAGACTGCAAAACAAATACGTCTCTCAGACAGGAAAGCAGATGTCACCAAACGCGTAATTAATCTAAAGTGGCGGTGAGCGGGTCACGTTGCTCGAAAGCATGGCTCCTGGTGTAAAGCGGTCCTCGAATGGCGACCTTGGGGTGAAAAACGACGTGGGAGACCGCAGACGCGCTGGAAGGATGACAAAGAAAGTAGCGAAATTGAATTGGATACAGATGGCACAGAATCGAAAGAAGTGGCAGAAACTGAAAGAGGCCTGCACCGGTATGGTTGAGGACGGCTAGAAAGAAGAAAGAAGAAGTTTGTTACCGAGACGGCTCACTCTTTTATCCTATTTTATCTACTCTAAAGATTAAGCGATAAGACGAGAGAGAGAACCAGTGCAAATAATATTTCGCCAACTATCCTCCATTTTTAGTTTACACCCATAATTGTGTACTCGTGTTGGACCCATCCATCAATCCATCCATCGTATATCTTAACATTTATAGTAATTCAACAATATTCGCTACAGTGTATAACATAGCAGAAATGTACAATAATAAATTCATCAATCATATCATCATCGACCCATTTATACGTCTCACTGCTGGGCAGGGGTTTCCCCTCACGTAGAGTGGGTGAACCGTTCCCACGGGCCACTGTTGTACCACCTTGTGCAGGTGCTGACCGGGCACGGCTCTTTCGGTCACTACCTGATACCACAAGGTGGCGAGGAGGGAACCGTCCCCGTCGTGTCACGAGTATGGCGCTTCGGATGACACCGCACAGCACACCCTAGAGGTGTTGCGGCCGGTGGGACGAGCAGCGCCGTATTCTGACGGAGACAATAGGGCAGGCACCTTTCGCTGCCAGGAATGATCACCGCCATGCTCGGTAGCGAGGTGTCCTGGGAGGCGGTGGCCTCTCGGTGGCGCTTCGGCGCAGACGCACGGGGAGAAGTTCGCTGCTCGCCTAATCCTTTAGTAAGGCCAGCGGGTTCTGGACTGGGACTCCGGAGCCTGCATTGCACGGCCTCACTCGTCTGGGGAGCGGATCGGAGGACAGCCGAATCGACCCTCCGTTGGCGCGGGAGCCCTAGCGCAAGCTAGGGCGGCCGGGCGGCGTCGTGGTGAATGTTCACCGATCCCACGGCGCCGACTCAACCGGCCTAAACCCTCGTCTGAGAGGAAACCCTCTTTTTCTTTTCTTATGGGGGGGACATCTTTATAGATACCCCTGAGACTCAGAGGTTATGTGGGGACTCTTCCCCCAGCCTGGGGGGCCTACTCCACTAAAACCCTCCGGGTTTACATCTCGCCGGTCCAATGCGGGTTGGAGACTTCACACGTTTCCGAAAATTGTGAACCTTTTTAGACTTGCAAGTTTCATCACGTTGTTTTCCTTCACCGAAATCACGTAGTAAATTTCAAATAAAATTCCGTAGAGAAATTTAGAGGCGCGAGGCCGGATTCGAACCCTCAGCCTCTGCTTGAGAAGCGGTAGGTCAAACCATTAAGCTATCACAGTTTTTTTAACAAGAATAACTGTTAAGGAAACAAATAAATCAAGAATATTGAAAACAGATTTTTGACTGCGCATTGTAGATGGTTTTTCGTGTGTTTAATTCATGTGAATTATTTTCAATATTTGTAGAAAATGCTGCGTGTTAGATTTTTGAAAACGTACCTATCTTGATTGATCCACCTATGTTAACCAGTTTTGAAAGCTTATTTGGCATTTCTTCAACGTCATCCATACCTTTTTTATTTTTTTTCATGTCTTCGTCTTTACACTTATCGGCGTCATTCTTTACCTTGTCTTTATCTTTTTTTGCACCATCTTTATCTTTGTCCTTTTTTCCAGTATCACTTATCCCCTTATCTTTGTCTTTTTTGGGATCTTTGGCTACTTCGCCTGCTTTTTTATCAGCATCTTTGGTGCCTGTAATAAAGAAACAGCTACATAATTATAAAGAACTACCAGGTGACCATCAGCACCATCTAGCGACAGGGTATATAAAAAGTAAGGGTTGGAGTTTTCCGTACCAAGGTTAAGGTTCAGATTAAAAGGAAACGTTCCGTAACCGGGACTTCCTTGATAAATTAAATAAAATAAGACGCCTATAGAAGCCCGAAGCATCTTTAATGGTGTACGAAAACACTTTATCATGAAACATACATGCAGAATTTTTTTTTTTCAACGGGAGCCATGTTCATCACACCTGTGGCGGCCCTAAATGCATTGCTGAACCTGACACCTCTGCATTTATTCATACAGAGAGAGAGGCCAGTATCAGCATGTACAGGCTTACTACTAGGTTAAGGAGTAGATGGCTCTCCCAGACATTGAGATTAGCCCAAGACTTAATTCTGGAACACTCTGTTCTGGGAATGACTTCTGATGTCATGCTTCCCAAACAAAACTTTAACAAATTCTACCAGGTAGAATTTCCAACTAAGGAGGACTGGGAAACTAACAGTCTCACCTGAAGGACAGTAGCCTCCTAGTAGGTAGCGGTCTACGATGGGACCCAACGTAGGCTTTGGTATACACGGCGTGAGACCCAGGCTCAGCTACAAGCTGAACATGGAACGACACTTCAGTATCTTTCAGGCCGAAGTATACGCTATAATTATTTGTGCGAGCTTGAACCTGAGGAGAGGCTACGTTGACAAGTATATTTACATAAACTCAGATAGACAAGCGGCTCTACTTGCACTAGCCTCAGTCACCCAGACATCGAGGATTGTAGAGAACTGTGTAAATATATTGAATACTCTCGGGGAAAGTAACACAGTGGTCCTGCGCTGGGTTCTAGGCCACTCTGACATCGAGAATAATGAGTCAGCGGATGTACTGGCAAAGGCTGGTGCTAGGGAAAACTTTATTAGACCCGAACCCTTCATAGGAATAGCATACAGTTTGGCAAAGCTCACTCTGCTAAACGAGAGCACACATCTCTCCCGAGAAGTGTGGCTACAGAGCAAGGGTCTTGAGCATTTAAAAGTCCTGATATCTGCCTACAGTGCCAAACACTGTAGAGAAGCTCTGTCATTGGACAGAAATGGCATAAAAATGCTCACTAGAGCCTTAACAGGGCTTTGTGGCTTGAACAAGCACATGTCAAATATTGGGCAGAGAGAGAAGAGAGAATGTAGATTCTGCCACAAGGCGGATGAAACTCCTGTTCATCTACTCATCCAATGCTACCACCTGATGGGTGTACGAAGTTCCATACTGGGAAGGCACATGCCAGAACCAGAGTACATTAAATCTGTCGGAGCCAGGAAAGTCCTTCAGTTCTTCAATGCTGTCGGCCTTGGCTCTGTACTGTAATTAGTGGCGATCACAATAGACCAGTCAATGGTCGCAGTGATGAGGGGATGCATAGGCCCTGAATGAAGCCACCCTAATAATAATACCTTATTTAACAGGGCCTGTCCAAAATATAACATTTTAAGTGCTTTTAATACTATATTTTTTAAATAAGTCTTCAATATTATTCTAGTTAGTGACGTAATAGAAAAAATTATATTATTATATCGAT